AAGCAAATTTAACAAAAGTCTTAAAGTCTTAAAATACTAAATGACCAAGATAAACTTTATATCACTTTTTCACTTTTCACCCCCTCCTTTTCTCACATACACACACCTCCTCACATACACTGACCCTCTCACAACCGATTATTTTAAAATTATAATTTTAAATTTATATTTTATACCCCTATAATTAGTTAATTAATGTACTTTACGTCCTTTACTTTTAAATGTTTCATTTTAAACCTTTATCAAATTAATATACATAATCGTATATCAATTAAAACATGTTTAAAAAATACATTTTTATTTTAACAAGTTACATCATTATAATTGTCTCATTAATACCTTCGAAATGAATCGAATATTGAATAATTTTTGACTTAATTATATTATTATATATTATATATATTGTGAAAAAATATTTTTAATATTTACGATGTATACTTTTATAGTTATTTATATATATATATATATATTATATTTTGGGGTTAGGCTGTCCAAATTGCACCGTATAATATATTCTGAATTAATATGTTATTGGGTTTTTTTTGAAATATATATACATGTATTAATTCAACCTTAATCTGAGTTTCCGGACAAGAAAGATGGTAAGCAGTTGAAATTTCATTCTAAAGCCCATCTTTTTTTGTCTTTTCATGGCTTATGATCTGTCAAATTTGTAGTTTTCTTTATTGGTTTTGAGTGTTTATCTTAAAACTCAAGTTTTTTGGTTTGCTCTTGGTGTAAATCGAACACATTTGTGGAGTCGTTTAAATATGTTGTATTTTAAATATATTGGATTTTAAACTGTCATACAATTTTTTTCATCGGTAGTCTATAATTGGAACCATAACTCTTATTTATTCAAATTGTATTAATATGTAAAGACCAAATGTAACATATATCATCTTTAAATCTTATCTTATAAAATCAGTGAAACTTCAAAATCGTTAAAATTCATGGTTCCCGCCGCATTGCGCGGGTACACAACTAGTATATATATGAAGATTCACATTTATTTTACGAAAATACGAAAACATTCTTATCACATGTGATAATATGATAATACACGTGAGTGGATTTGGTGGTGTGCGGTCGACTTGGCCCACGACCAAGATCACGCCAGATGTCGTCAACGTCTTTTATTTAGTATCATATATAATTAACTATATTCAATGTGCGTTCTCGCATTCACAAACTGAAGGTGTTATTGTTTGAATTATTCCTTATATACATATATACACACATTACACATATGGGACTAATCAAAAATAAGAATTCGGTAATTTGTGATAAGCGTGAGATCCAATGTGAGACATTTAGGAAAATTATGTTATTTAATTAGTAAATAAATAGAAAGTTAATAATAAAAAACAACTCATAAATACGTTTAATTAATTTATTCTCTCCATAAATAAGAAACCTGTAACTCCCATAAATACGAAATTCATAACTCTTCATAGTGTGTTATTTTTGAATCTTTGATGCCAGTGACAAAAGGTGTATTTTTGTTGTTTCCTTTATATCACATTCTGTGTTTTTATTGTTTACAATGTATCACACTGTGTATCTCAGGGCATTGCGTTTGTATAGAGTGGGAATCATGGTGAACATCAATAGGTATCAGTGGGTATATCGAGAGAATGGTCCTAATTAATGTATCATAACGTGTATACAATGGATATCACAGTGGAATATTCATGCCCAAGGGGAGAGGGGAGAGGAGAGATGAGAGACAAGATTTCTAAAATACCTAAAATGCCATTATTTAGATTTTTAAATCAAAATTCCTAAAATTCTTAGTTTCTTAATTTAAACTTTGATTTGTGGTTGATATTAGATCTTACGGATCTCATAAAATATTGAGTTTATTTCTTGAATGACTCTCTATATCTATACTATCTTATTAAACAAATTTAGCAAGAGTCTTAAAGTCTTAAAATACTAAATGACCAAGATACCCTTTATACTACTTTTTCACTTTTTCACCCCCTCCTCTCCTCACATACACTCATCCTCTTACAACCCATTTTTTTAAAATTATAATTTTAAATTTACACTTTATACCTCTATAATTAGTTAATTAATTTACTTTACGTTCTTTATTTTTAAATGTTTCATTCTAAACATTTATTAAATTAACATACATAATCGTATATCAATTAAAACATGTTTAAAAAATGCATTTTTTATTTTAACAAGTTACACAATTATAATCGTCTCGTTAATACCTTCGAAGTGAGTTCAATATTGGATAGTTTTTGACTTAATTATGTTATTATATATTATATAAACTGTGAAAAAATATTTTTAATATTTACGATTTATACTTTTATAGTTATTTATTTATATATATATACTATATATTTTGGGGTTAGGCTGTCTAAATTGCACTATATAATATGTTCTGAATTAATATATTCTTGGGTTTTTTTGAAATATATATATATATATACATGTATTAATTTAACCTTAATCTGAGTTTTTGGACAAGAAAGAGGGTAAACAATTGAAATTTCATTCTAAAAGCCATCTTTTTTTGTCTTTTTCATGGCTTATGATATGTTAAGTTTGTAGTTTTCTTTATTGGTTTTGAGTGTTTATCTTA